ACGTTCTACGTGTGCACGCGAGAGAAACACGTCGTGCGTGTATACGTGCAACGAATTGCGCCGGAAAGCGAGAGACCGGTCAGCCGGGGAGCGCAATAGGCGTTATTTCCGGCCGTTGTTTTTTCATGCTCACCGCCGAATGCAACCGAGAAGAAAAAAAGAGATATACCCCCATGTACGATGGATTATAATCCAAGGATCACACGGCACAACGTGACATACTGCAACCAACGAAATAAAAATTCCGTTATCAATTGTTTCGGAAGCCAAACTTCGCGTAATTCCTCTCCGACGTTAATTGTATTGACATATATTGTTCGACATGTCCTTTATTAATACTTTGAAGCTCGATGGAGCAACATTATATCCACACGGAAAAAAATTTCCTAAATTTGAGTAATATTTTCTTGAATAATAACTAAGCAAACATTTTCTTATTGCAAATAAATATTTATTAAACGTAAACATACATTAATTGACTCAAGTATCACTTTTTTAAAAATAAATATTTATTTGCAGTAAAGAAATGTTTATTTAGTTACTACTCAAGAAAATATTACTTAAATTTAGAAATTTTTTTCCGTGCAGAAATTTTACACAGAAAGAATAGTTTTGCTGAAGTTTTTAAAAATTTAGCTGATACAGATCTGAAAATAATTTTGTTTAGATCGTCAGAATTATTATACAGAATACTAAAATGTTAAAACTTTTTTTACAGCATTGTCATCAATGGTCAAGCATTCTATACAATTATTTTGATGGTTCAACAAAATAATTTTTAAATCGGAGTATCTAAAAAAATTTGAATATTTTATCAAATCTATTCTTTTCGTATATTCTCGAAAAATATCGTATACGAAAATACTATACATATAATATATTTATATAGTTATATAGGTGACGTATATAATATATGTATACATTAAGTACGTATATTATAGATTTTTGTATGTGACATAGATTCAAGAATATAGGCCCAGGCTTAATGTACTTGTGGTCATCGGATGCCACTTTTTCTCTTGAAATTCTCCTGCGCAGGCTACTCGACCGAATAATGGAAGCTGGTTCGCGCGCATTAATAGGTGATGTTATTAGAATTTTTCGTGGATTACGAAACATCTCATAAACTCAGAATCGCTTTATTGATAATATCGTGTGCGGAGATAATAGGATCAGAAAATATAGAGATCTAACATTCTGAGGGAAAAATCGATCCGTTATTATTCAGTTTCAACATTTAATGGAGTAGGTCGGTAACTTTCATAAAATTCAAACTCTTGTTATTATGCTTTAATCCTCTTATAGTATTACATCTCTTTTTTAATATAAAAACTTATATTTAAAATTTTATATTAGCAAGAAAATGCGATTAACTTTTTAGTCTATTTTTTGCGAAGAAAGTGATAAATTTCGCGTGTCCTATCTTTGAGAAATATGTCTCACTTGGGAGATCTCTATACTTACGGAACACCCTCTTGGGAGATTTCCGTTTTCGTAGTGCTTTGTTTCACGACGAACTGACAAGAAGCGCACCAATCACCGCAAGAAACTTTGGGATGTGACACTTTCCGATCAATGGTATTTTTCCACATCCGACATATAATAAAACATGCATAAACAAGATTGACTACTTTTTGTCGTTTTTTATTTTGGCTTATCTATTTTCTATATTCGATATTTATTATGTTTATACAATTTAATTTTAACCGTTTATAATTTGCATCTTTTTGACACAAAATAAAACAGTTTTATTACTAAGTTATACAAATTTCCATTTTTTTCTGAATTTTTATTCAAATTTTAATTTTTATTAAATAGAGATTTTTAACATTTAAGTTAAAGGAGCCAGATTGCAGAGAGTAAAAATATGATTGGAGACGGAAGTTCAAGTTAATACGTGTATCAAAGTATATGTACCAGAGTGATTCCTCACTTCACATCGACGTTCAAAAATTTCCTTTGCCCCGATGAGGTTTCTCATTAATTATGATGACAATCTTATCAGAACATTCCATTCCAAAAAGATAGAATTGAAAGAAGAAATTGGGATTGATTCACAGTTCGCATTTTGTAAATTAAAAATCTCATCAAGTTGCATTTGGGTACTTATAAATATATTCGCTGTGGATCGGTATATGTGTGCATGCGTGGTAGAATATTCTAGGTAGCTTGAATGAAATTGGATCCGTCCGGGCAAACCCAGAGAACGAAGAGAAGGAAGATTCGCCAAGATTCTTCGGCAGAGACGAGGAAGAAAGATGGTTTCGTTCGAACGAATAATCAGGAGGAACCTCTGGTAATCATTTCGTGCCAATCGAGTAGTTTCCTCGTGCAATCTCGGCCTTGGTGCACCTACGTGGCTTCTCCCTCTAAATCCGCGCACGTGATGCATCCGACTAACGACCCTCTCGGGGAGCCAAAACGTGTCTCTCGAATTAAGCACCCGACACTGGGTAGATCGAGAAGGAACTCCATAGGAATTATTTCCGTGCAATAAACGAATTGACTTCGCGCACAACGGAATTTACGAGAAAAGTTACTAAGGTGCGTAAGACGAAAAAATATTACAGGATTGAACGTGCTTGGAAAAATTTAGTATGAATGTTGTCATTTATCTAAATAAAAGCGAAGTATTACGGCTATAAATTTTATTTACTGTCTTTATTTTGCAAGACATACAACATTAAAGTTGCTTATAGGACGTAGAATAAACAGCTAAATATTTTATGATATCATATATATGGAAGATTCAGAAAGATATTATCCTAACTTCTTTATAGCACACCTAATATATTTATAATCATATAATAAAATGCGCGAAAAAGTCGGAAAAATTAGAACAAATATTTCTCACTAGTATTTTTTGCAAATTTTCACTCATTGTATTTATATTGAATTCTTTGTCATGTTATATAGGGTGTCCCATTTTAATCGATCATCTCAAATATCTCTTGAACAGTGCATTTTAAGGAAAAATGTTTCAGACAAAAGTTTTGGGACTCTGAGGGGGACATAAAATGGTGCCATTGGTTTGATTTTGGGTGGCGTTGTCAAGATCAGGACAAAGTCACTTTGAATTTTTTTAACGGAACTCCCCATTTTTCATTACGTATTCTTGTAGCTTACCTCGAGAGCTTTCCAAAACACTGTAATTAAATTCATTTTCATTAAGTACTTTTCGAGTTATCAGGTTTGCAAGTTATAGCACTGCAGACATTAGCATTACCCTAAATGTCCGACCGACGGCTAAAATCTCTTGAATGTTCAGAATCACGACCTGGATAACATTTGTCAAGATCAAGACTATTGGAGGTTGTACCTCTTATTTTCATTTTTATGTAGAAATAAATTTTTAGTGCAAAAGTGAAAATAAGAGGAACGACCTCCAATGATCTTGATCTTGATAAATGTTATCCAGGTAATGATCCTGAACAACGTTTAAGAGATTTTAGCCGTCGATCGGACATCTTGGGTAATGCTAATGCCGGCGGTGCTGTAAACTGTAAGCCTCATAACTTGTAAAGTACTTAATGAAAATGAACTTAATTATATTGTTTTGGAAAGCTCTCGAGGTAAGCTACAAGAATACGTAATAAAAAATGGGGAGTTCCGTTTAAAAAATTCAAAGTGACCTTGCCCTGACCTTGACGACGCCACCCAAAATCAAACCAATTGCACCATTTTATGTCCCCTTCAAAATCGCAAAACCTTTGTCTGAAATATTTTTCCTTAAATGTACTGTTCAAAAGATATTTGAGGTGATCGATTAAAATGGGACACCCTGTATATGGATATCTTATGCATTAAAAATTATTAATCAAATAGATAACACAACATTGAAGAAACGATTGTCTATTTTATTTTCCTATCTAGCACGTAAACACGTTCTACTTTCACGCGTTATGTTGGCGTCAAGCATTCGTTTTGCTGAGCGCCAAGTTTCATTCTGAACGAAGTATCCCATCATTACACGTCAGCGAGTCAAAGAACGGAGACCTCGATCAAGAGGACGAGGGAATAGAAAAGCGAGGAAGGTATTGCCAAAGTTCGACGAGCTACCCCGTCCACCCATTAGCGTGTCAGTCATTCCGGCCGTGTAATTAAATTCCGTACGCCAATGTCGTCGCGTGGATCTCCGCCCTGCGCGATCAAATCTTTTTGAAGCTGCCGCATCCGTTCTCTTTCTCCCTCCATTCTCTCTCTCTCTCTCTCTCTCTCTCTCTCTCTCTCTCTCTCTCTTTTGCTCTCTGCTTGATTCCTCGAAATCAGCTTGGTGCATTCTGTGGACGGTATCAATATTTTCCCTGGGAAAAATGTCAGGTCAGCTCCCGGGAGAACGCGGGAGCGAGGGAGGCCGCGTTGCGCGGAGGGTGATATTCTTCCGGAGGGTCTCCTTGACATCAATTCTATCCATTTCCACGTTTTCCCGCGTTTCTTACTGCCCTACAGTCTCATTTTCAATTTATCCTTGAAACCTTTTATTGCATTTTTCGTTTCTCCTACCCCGTTTCAGAGGATCCGGCGTCGAATGGATTCGCGCGAATACAACAGATAAAACGAAAGTTTATATCGCCGCTTGCTTAGAGTAGGAGGTCCCGGGTAGGGGGGGGGGAGTCTGATTAATGGACTTCTTGCTGTATAACTGGCGAGAAAAAAAATTAGTCGGGAGGAGGTCGGTGGCACCAGAGAAAGCTGCATTGCTATAACTGTATTATAGTCGATTAATTGGAGTTGTTAGGCATCGTAATCATCTGGTTGCTGTTGTTTAATTATTCCGAGATGACTCGTACAATTGACATTATTAATATTTATTTGCACAATTTTAAAATCTTGCAGATGAAAGAAGAATTCTTAAATATATTTTCCAATCTATTAAAAAAAAACGAACTTTTATCTATTACTTTAAACATAAATGAATGATTGATGGAATATACATATAATATATAACACTAATGTTATCGTGCCACGTATTTATTTTTCTATCTTTATGATTGTTACAGAGCGACATCATGGAATTTTCCAACGTTGCACGAAAAAAGTCGCCAACGCAAAGACATAAACTCCGAAAATTGTTTCGCGTAAGAAACACTGCGACTGTACATCGTTCCTAATTGACAGATAGAGGAAGGAGCCAACGGCGGGGGGTAACTAGAAGCGGGAATGAGAAGAGGATCGAGCGGAAGACACGAAGCAGCGTTCGAAATTTACGAGTAAGTCGGTTTGCTTGCACGTCGTGGGGTCCAAGATGGTGTCTAGGGGCGGTCGTGCGCCGTAACAAATGGTTTAGCCGTGAACCCACTCGCCGTGCAACGACACCGGAAACAGGCGGCAGCTATCCGGCGAACGAGCGAGCGAACGAGCGAACGAGCAAGGAGATCCGCAAGAATTCGCGAGGACACGGACGTGAAGCTTACCCCGGTCATCTCTCACGTGGTGAATTGTTCCCAGGCACGAAAGCCGAACAGTGAAGTCGCTCTTGTTTGCAACGAAATTGTCCGGAGACAAGATGATTCTGAAACGTCGACGATGAAACGGCGTACGTTTCGCTACGATCATCCTGTGAGAGAACGCGTCGCGACTTTTTAATACGCGTTCGCAGACTCAGAGATGACACGAGGTGTCGCGCATTTCGATATTGAAATCCTGATGATAGTTGATCCATGATAACTCGGCCAGATGGGTTAAAAAATCGTGGTTCGCGATTGACGGCACGGTCTCGTGCTGCTTGCGAAATGGCGATTATACCGCGTCCTCGAAAGTGCAACAAGTGGTGTCCAGATTCTCAATGCTGAGACATCATCGATGTTACTCGACAGACGGACGAGGGGATTTGATCCGGGACCGATCAGGTTCGCGACCGGTTGGAGAATCTCGAACAGGAGGACCGCCATTGTTTCCTAAAACGATGCCAGCGGGATTAAGCGTATCTAATGAACTGTGAATCTGTTTCGCCTGTCTCAAATACGATCATCTCGAAATTTTTTTCATCAGGATTCTCTTCGCCGGTCTAAGTAGATTTACTTCCGCTGAGAGGAAACGTTCGACCAACGCATCGAGAGGTCCCGGTTCGATGCTGTTCGTTAACCTCGTCAAAGAGTGCTTTATTGATCGCGGGATCGAAAGGTAGACGACGAGTAGCTCCGAGCTAGGATTTTAACTTGATTCCAACCGTTGGCTTCCGTCGAACTCGAGTACTTGAATTTACCGACATCGTCTTTACCAGGAAGATGTATAGAAGTTAAAAAAAATTTTAATTTATACGACGATTCGCCCAAAACAGGGGAACTAGTGTTATTAATGCACGTATTAATATTCGTTGAAACGTGACGCGATTCAATGTTGCACGTGACTGCTCTAAAAAAGACTGTAAACGCGAGTCCATGGCGACGAAAGTGCTCTATGCTGTGCAGACGAAAGAAACGCTTGCCGGGCATCGACGATTCTTGGGACTGCTACCTGACCTCTCAACGGCAAATCCGTTGACTAACGTAGCAGCACCGTTCGTATGCCGCGGGCAAAAACATCTCGTGACTCGCTCGAGGACGAAGACTTCGCGATAATCCAGTCAAAACATTGTCGGATCCGCAGAGACGTCGTCGAATGAGACGATGGTGATGAAGATATCCGCAAGCGAAGCTGGCGTTCCTCTATTAGGCGCCGTCAGTCCGCGCTACGTCGTCAAACAAGCGACGGTGAAGCGCTGCGTCCTGGCGTTGTTGCTCGTCTCCATCGCCAGTATATTCTACTACACTTACTACATCGTCAGCAGTGGGCCGCTATCCAGGTAAGTCCAAACAATGCAATGAACTATTTTGCCCCTAAAATGGGAACATGATTGTTTAAGTCAATAAATTTAACTATTAGTTTGGCGCTAGCTCGCGTACAAGAGTAAAGTACATAAAGCAATTAATTTTGGTCTTGAAATGTTTCTAGAATTAATTACTGTAAGAATATCCCGATTCCAAATTTATTGCTCATTGTTTAAGTTAAGGAAGTTGTAAGGGTATAAAACACATATATTAATATTTATATTATAATTTCTTAGTTTATATACATTTATATCGATGATACTTCATATTTCTCTAACTATATGTTTTATATTTGAAACTAGACGTTTTATTTGAATTTAATTGAATTTATTTTTATTTTTATTTGATTGTTGACTCTTACTTTACCTTTTATAATTGTTAATTTATTTTCATAAGAAGAATCCTTCTATCTATCAAATTAATATTATGCTTTAAACAAACTACAGTGAGAAAAATGGTTTGATTATATCAACAAGATGTATATGGTTAAATGCATTTGGTTAAATCTAGCAGAATTTCTGGTTATTATAATAGGACACAAAATTTTATGACTAGACCATTTGGTAGATTATACTATAAGGATCTGTTTAATATTTTTCAGTTGGATCTACAAAACTTCTAGTTATATTCACTAGACATACGCTACGTTACCAGAATTCTTGTTAACGCTAGTGCATCTTGGTAGTTGCATCACTGTGCAAGTTCGCGCAAGTCGCGCGAGTCGAGCGGATAACGTTTATTGTTTCGTACATCTCGTGATCGCGTATCGGTGGCTGATTGTAGTCGAGTGTCGAGCATGTATCGTGAAGTGAAGTCTTGTGAAATAACGAAATTGCAAGTTCAATTAGATGAACAATTCTAACAATAAATCGTCATATGTACTGTGATCTGTGTCAAAAATTCGGAGAAAAAGTGGAATGTAATTGAGTAGCATGGCTGATGAAAAAACGTCTTCTCTTCTTCGCCAATGGAATTTTGAGAAATATGTAGACGTTTTTAAAGGTTAGTTATACATTAATGAAAATAATTGTTCGCTCAACAAGAAAATCTGATAAATTCAACGGGAAGGCATTATTAGACCAATAAGAAAATCTGATACAGTTAACGAGAAAAATTTATTCGATCAACAAGAAGTTCTGGTAGAGTTTACGAAAATAATTGTTCGCTCAACAAGAAAATCTGGTAGACTCAACGGGAAGGCATTATTAGACCAACAAGAAATTCTGATAGATTTAATTAGAAGGAATTAATCAAATTCATTCAGTAATTCTTACAAGAAATCTGATTCGTCCGTTTTTGAACAAACATACTGGTTGAATCTACCAGATTTCCAAATAATCCAACCAAACTCTTTTTTTAGTGTACATACATGTAAAAGTTGTGTTCATAACATTCTGGTTTTATTGAACAATACCTTTTTATAGATTATTTATTTTATTTGCTATTAGTTTTATTGTTATAAATAAAAATTGTTAAAATAATAAGGAAAATCTAAATGTTTTTATATAAATATATTAAGTACTAAACATGACTTATGCAAAGTTTCATTGAGATTCACCATTAGTTTATAACAAATAACAAATTTTATTTATTTACTGAACAATTAATGTCTGCATCTCAAGGTAACTTTACATAAATATTGTTGAATTCATAAAGTATTTATATTTAAAAATTGAGATTTTATCATTATTTTGTAATACATTTTTACATATTTATATTAGAGTACAAATTAAAAAAATATTACTACTTGTTTAAATAACTTTTGATCCAGATGGTCAATTGTTTCTATCTTTTTTTTGTATTATTATTAAATGCAATTTAGAAAAGTCTGTAATTTTTTCAAGTAATTCTTAACATGTTGCATTTGCCGTACAACCTCCTTAAAAAAACCAGAAACATGTTGATGTTAGCGCACGTATGTTACGCCATAACGTGAAGTTAGCACCTCCACTTTTGAAATGAATTGAATTATATTGTGTTAACACTCGGAATATTAAAAATTCAACACAAAATTTTAACAAGAACTGAAGTGGAACATTTCTGACACAAATACAAAATGTTTTTTACTGTGTATAAATTAAATGTGACATAAACAAATTATAACATATAAATATTTTATTTTTTTTTAATATGGGATTTTTAAGATGGTTTGAATGGTTTGAAAATGTTAACTGTTGAATTCTGAGCCCGAAAAACTTCTGTGTACTTGAGAATATTTACAGTACACGGCGTAAACAGAGTAATGCCTAATTAGCACAAGATTTCTACATGCAGCATCTGTTGCTGGCAAAACTTCAAAAACTCTTTTTGCACAAAAATCCGACGTGTTCATAGAAAAACACTTGTACAACTTCTTCGGATTGTTGACTTTCGTTATCTTGGTCAAGAATGATCATAAAAATGTAAAATAAAGAGCGTAACTTTGCGCATTGCTACGTAGTAGAACTGTGTAAACTTTGAAATACGTATAGTTTCGTAATAGTGCGGCAATAATAGCATGCAAATGCAACGGAAAACACACCATTAAAGACCGTGCGGAAGCGAGTTTACAAAGGGCGATTAGTATTGAATGGCGAGAGACGAGTCGTTTGACGATAGGTGAAGTAGAATGGCGACACTTTTAATTACTTTGTATGCAATCAAGCGAGTCAAAGCAGACCAATTAGAGCCGCGAGTTGGCTGACCGTCGCGCCAGCCAGTTCGTAACTCTGAAATTGCGTGGTCGCGTGCAACGTTGCTGGTAGGGGATCTTCCAACAGAATCTCGCGCGTCGCAGACAATTTCCATTGACGTCTTATTTTTCACATGGTGATGATATGGAAAAGTGGAATCTATAAACGAACGCGATTGGCAATTATCGACAAAAAATATTTTATCACGGAGACACGTTTTAATTGTGAAATCAATAATCTTCATTGATATCAGCAACTGAAATCCTTTATTTAAAATAATGGATTGTATTCATTAATTTCATTAAGGAAGCGTAGTAACGATCTCATGAGATAATATCATGAGTGTAATTAAGTAAATAACATTGATGATACACAGATAACGGAACATCAACGGTCTTATGATTCCGATAATAGTCGAGATAATTATAAACCATTTTTATATCAAATCTGAAGCCACGAGAAGCATCAATGATAAGCGACAAATAATAGATAGAAAAAAAGCGCGTATATAATTTTTTTACAATTTCGCAAAATAATGAATATAATACATAGCATCAGAAAGAATTCTGTGGAAAGCAATCATTGATGCAGAAATATGGGCAGTATCAAAGCGCGTTAATCTAACTTCGCAGTAGCGTATTTCCATGTTTCGTAGTAATAAAATATTTTTGTCACGCAGCCGACACACCGTCCATTATACGTAAATATACGTGTGGTTATCAAGAAAATCGCATACAGGAAAATTATACTAATTACTTTCGATAATCAAAGAATAACAGACGCATGAAATTATCATAGACTATACTGCAGGATGTTTCATATCTTTAATTACATGTTGCGTGCTGCATAACAGAGCCTGAAATGTTGAATTAATCATTATTAACGAAAATTATATCTCTTACATTATTTTTCTTTTCCGTGGCATAAAATTTTTCTTAGCTCTCTAATATTGAAAAACAGCGTTAAAAATATTGAATGCTTTTAAAGTCGTACAAAGCATCCTTTGATCATTCACTTGGTAAACGAGCAGTAGGCAAACGAAGATAGTCGTGAATTTTAGCAAGCGCAGATCTCTTCTACCGTTGTAAACTACCCGAGAACTCGTATGTAGAAAGCATGAACAACCCGCGCAAAGACGAAATAGTTTGTGGACTCAGCGAATTGGCAGGTACCTTCGGTCTTAGAGACGATCCTATTTAAATGTACGAACGCAAGTATATCTATATGTATGCGAACGTGTATATATATATACTATAAGGGTTACATGTTTCCGTAATAACTGGCCCAATTCCAGTTTTCTTCGATATCCTGCAGTCCTATAGGATTGCCTGACTATGATGCCCGTCAGGCAGAGAAGTAAATTCACAGTTAATTAGAGAGGAACTGAACAACTTCACGATCTGAGACGCTCGCTCTAGTTCTACGATTCTATTCAGTTCGTCCTCATAATAGCGAAACGACATGCAAGTCCAATGTCCGTGTATTTGTTGAAAAATACACGATAATAATGATCGCACAACACAGCAGAGTACACTTCGGAAATATAATATCTGAAATGAAACGTGTCGCGTGAGCGTCAAGCGCCTGATATTTCCAAAGGTGCGGAAATTATATTGTGGCCCGATGTTTTAGCCATTACGTACACGCGAAGTTTCGCATTTTTCTCGCACGGGAATCAAAGTAATTAAAGTATAATTTCTCTCCTAGCGCGCGCGCTACGCGACCGGTCTCGTTGAGTGAGAGCTTAACAAGTTTTCTTCGACACGTAGTCGGACGAGATTGTTCTGAAAACTGATCCCCTCCGAAATATCGCTTACGCCAGGGGAAAAAGTTCGGAATATATTTTTCATGCGGTGCGATGGTATCGCCGAGTTGCAAACGGCGATCTTCAAGAATGTAAACCGCACATTACACGACCGCAAAACTCTTCCCCCGACGACAGATCATAATTTACTTACTGCAATACTAACGGACGTATCTGTTATCATAAAATATTCGTTATAATCCTACACCTATGCTTCGTGGGAGACTGGGAAGTTGAGATATATGACTCGTTACTACGATGCGCTATTATATCTAGAGACCAAGGGGCCAGCTCATAAATCCTCGTGCACGCGCTATCAAGTTAGTTGATAATGCCATGATCTTACATGGATCAATCTTAACAGATAATCCGCGACACCATGGAATTCTGTAGTCATAGTATACAGGTACGCTATCGTCAATCATTGAGTTTGATACACCCTAGTACAGACATTGACATGTAATATCATATCTATACTGGCAGCTTCGCCATCTACATA